ACCGGAAATTGGTCGGCGGTAACAACTTCCGACGATTTCCGGCTAACCGTAGAACTAGGCATAGCCATGGATCCCATTAATCCACCACCCAAATTCATCTCATCTAAAATTTTATTAAAAATACCCAAAAGAAATGGGTTTGACCCACCAAAAATTAATTTCCAAAAACCCAAGGAATTATAAAAATAAGATCAAATTTGTGAAGAAAGTAAACTAAGCATGAATTTAATTAAAATTAAACACAAACCCAGTTTAAAAATTGTAACTTCAAAATGGAATCTTGAAGATACAGAAGAGAAAAATAAAAAAAATAAGAAATGAAACTCAAGTGTAAGATTCTATTGAATTTTTACTGATTTTGACTAGGTGAAAGACTGGATTTTTGGTGGATTTAAGAGAAAATATTTGAGACCCAGTTCCAAATTCAGAAAATTGAACGGACCCAAGTTGAGATCTTCCCGAAATATTGAGAGAGGAGAAAAGGGGAGGAGAGAGAAAGTGAGGTTGAAGAGAGAGAAAGTGAAAGAGGGATAAAAGCAAGAAGGAATAAAATTGATGGGTTTTTTTTATATAATTAAAGATTAAAAATTATGAGGTTGAAGACATGGCTTTCTGCAATTCAATACTTCTGGGTAAAATCATCATCAAGAAAAAAAAAAAAAAATGGGGTTTGATTATTTTATTACAAAGTGGGTCTGTTTGATGAGTGTGGATCCAGCTCACAAACATTTGGTACTAAAATAACAAATCTCATCTCACTAGTTGTGAAAGTGAGGTTTTTATAGGTTTATTCAAGAAATTAAAAAAATTTACCAATTGGAAAAATAAAAAATTGAAGTAATTTTGTAAGAAAATTAATTTGCCGACTATCTTAACTAGCAACTTGCTGGCAATATGAGCTGAAAATATCTAAAGTTTCCCATTTTAATGAGATACTAATAATTCATCCCTTAATAATTCACTCTCACATGGGTTTTAAAGTTTGAAATTTGAGATCATGAAAATTATCAAAAGGTGACTTACTACTCAACATGGTAATGTTAATTGTGGAAGTGGAATGATAAATGTAATTAGTAGCTAATTACTTTAATTAAAGAGGTTGTTATTGGCGGAAGATCATGCTAATTGAAGGCAGAATCGTGATTTAATTATGTTTGCATATATTGTTTAGGAGTAAATTTTAAGTTTGAATTGATACAAAGTATTTGTTTTTTAAAACTTGGTTGAGTGGTTGGTGATGTACAGATGTTTAAGTAATAAATAAACATGCGGAATTTGGATTTAGCATTGTGGAGATTTTGAAATTTAAAATTTGTTTTAACTACCATAAGATCGGGTTTTGCCATAATTCTTGGAGATAATATTCACTAGATGCTTAGATGGTCCACAAGCTAGTTGACTTGGTTAACTTACTTTTCTAACTAAGTTCGCGTTAATTTTTCATAAGATATATCTTATCTTTCATTATGAAAAAAAAATTATAAAACTACTCATTAGAAACATAAGAAATTACATTCCTTATTTGTATTAATAATTATTAGAAACGGAGTTTAGAGTCAACTCATATATTCCAAGATTTTTGTACCTACTTTAAAGTTTGACTTATAAAATAAAAAGATGCATAGTACTTCCTTTTAATCTATCAAGGAATACTAAAATGGTATTTTGATTTTTAAAGGTGTAAAACATCAATTATCTTTTGAAAAAAAGAAAGAAAAAAAAAACCAAGGCATTATTTTTGCCATGAATTGAAAAATATCTATTAAGAATTGAATCATTGACATTTATTGAGGTTATAAAACACTCAGTCATGCCATGTAAATACCCATATTCATGCAAAACAATTTATTAATATGATCTTAAAGAATCATTATGTATTTACAGTAAACAATTTATATAAAACACTCACTTTTATGACAATTTTTTTTATCCCGTGTAATTTAAATCACATTTAACAAAAATCATCAATATATAAATAACATTTTGTTCGAAAAAAAACATTATACAAAATAATTTAAAAAATCAAACAAGCAATATACAACCCTCAATGAATGAATTCTAAATTTCTAACAAAACCCAACTAAAGTTTTTATTTAATTAAAACAAAAATAAAAAAAAATAGTTTTGTAAATAAAATAAAATAAAACCAAACCTAACCCTAATCAAAATCAAAATGATAGGGTATAGTCTAAAAATTACAAATAGACTAGTAGTGAGCAGTAAGAATAGGTCTTTGCATATGGTACGTGGCTAGCCACACCCACACTTTGTTTTATAATATCAAAAATTTTGCATTGGATATAAACTTTTTAAGCTTTTGATTCACCACTTTTTGGGTTTTCCAGGAGAAAAAGCTACCAGTAATTTCTACTTTTCATTTTAATAATTACATATAACAGATTTTTTATTATTGTTTATTTTTGTTATTTATTTTTGTAATAAAATAAAATAGTACAAAAGAAAACAAAACAAAGCCTTTTTTTTGGCCAGACCTCGTTGATTCTCGTGAAGGTTATCTTGTTTGTTTTGGCTCAAGTCTGTTACTTCTCTTCGTTCAGTTTCTCTAAAATCCTTTGTACTTTGCCCCATCTTGACACGTGTATTTTCAAATTTTTTAAAAGTATTATCTTCTAAAAATCATACTACTCAGTATTTCATTTTATTTCAAACTTCTAGAGTGAAAAAAAGAAAATGTTATATTTACAAAAACCCAATAATATAGGAAAATTTTCTAAAAACATTCTTTAGTAGAAAATATTCCTCCGCTATGATAAATCTAAAAATATTGTAAATTGCAATTACATTTTCTTACAAAAAAAACCTAAGAATTTTATTTAACCCAAATCCCTAAGAATTTTACTTTATTCGTTTATTATGTTTGTCCCGTTATCCCTTTTCACAAGATTTATTAGTTATAATTTTATTTTACAATTACTTTCACCCTAATTGCTCTACGGCCTTGCCTCTATTTATTTATCATTGTCCTATTATTTAATCTATTCGGTTAACTTAAAAATTCATTTACATACGAGTCCAGTAAGTAATTTATACAAAGCAAATAATAGAGCTTAAAATTATACTCTATGAAAATAACATGCATGAAACTAATTCAATGAAAATTACAGTAATTAATGAAAATAAAAATATAATTAGAACAACTGACGCCAAGAAAGAGTTGCCTTCAACAATTAAAGTAATGATCATGTGATTTGGGTAATATTGAGAAAAAAAAAATAGAAGTACTTGACTAATTCAATGAAAATTACAGTAATTAATTTAATAATCATGTTTATTAAATAAGCACAATTAAATTTGTCCGTACTATGTAAGTGATGGCATGTATATTTCTTGTTAATCATCTTTGAATTCTTAAAAAAAAAAAAAAAAAAAAAAAGAATTACATGCGCCGGCGACACTCAACTCTATAGAGAATTTCACTCGTAAGTTCTTAAACTAATTTTATTATCTAAACAAATGTCAATTAATCACTAATTAGCTGTATGCCTATTAATAACATTATAAGTCAACACATGTCACTCTTTCTTTATTTTCAAAATTGTGAATTACATGGAACTTTCTTAATTATAAGTTATAAACATCGACCTATCTTTGTCGCGTTAAGGTTGTGTTCATTACATGCATTTTATATGAGAAAATGTTGTTTAATTCAAATTCAATGAGAAAAAACCAAACAAGAATAATAAAATTAAGCCATATCTAATATCAATGTTTACCTATAATTTCATTTCTGAAAAGCATGCATGCATTATATGATTCTAATGAAATTTCATTTGATAATTTTTACTAAAGACTCATTACCACTAATTATATTGATATCTCTCCCCTAACTCAATTTCCATTATGGAATACTTTATAAGTTAAGCTAGCCTAGCATGCAGATTAACGCTTGAGAGTAGTGGGGGAGGTAAGGAAGACCCCCTACTCCTTAACAAATGTATTTTAATGAAACATGGACTTGTGATCTTAATTAAAGTCACAAGGTGAATTCCTCACCAACTGCACTAAATTTGTTTGGCTCTCACTAACCCAGGTTACATAACTTTACGGAGTATTACATACTTTGTATTATTTTTTTATTTTTTTGGTATCAATTGCATTAATTTTTCCTACCAGTTATCTCTCCCACTAATAATAAAATTATATAATATATCCCCACTAACTATATATACTTTATATTGTAAGATTCTATATATTAGCATATGACTTCTCTAAAAATATGCTTCAATTCTATAATTTCGATTAATCCAAAGAAACAACAAAGGGAGTACAAGTATACAATAAACGTATTGCATAATTGCATATACTACGTAAGTAGATGCCTCGAAATGATACTTCATCAATTTTTGGTAATTCCACATGCACTACTTAATAAGAATAGCAATGTCTTTTTAGGGTAATCACGACACAAAACAAGTAGAGAGTGAGTGCAAGTGTGTATAATGAAAATAATAACGTACATGTACACTAACATTAGTATAATTACAAAAATACATAAATTAAAGCAAAAGAATCTCTCCCATTTAATTAGGTGTTTCTTTTAGCCGCTTGGCTTAAATTAATTAAATTGGAAAAAGGGATCAAAATATGGCTTAATCTTGTTTAATTAAGCAGGTTTTACTTTTAATAAGTTTGAGTCATATGATAATAAACCAATGTGATACCCAATCATACACTAGTATATACTTTGGAATCTTTAATTTGACATTTCCTTTTTCTTTTCAATTTAATTAATCTTTTTGTTTGTAATTATTAAGTGTAACTTACTCAAACCAAGCAAAGAAAGTGGCCTGGCCCCAAACTACGGATTACTAAATGTATTTCAACTTCAACATCGTAAATTCTTGTTAGATTCTTAAGATAACGTCTTGTCTTTTGATTTTTGTAAATTGCATGTGAACATATGAAAATTTAATATACCAAGCTTTAACTGACTGGCTAAATCTGTAAGAGGTGTTGACTTGTAGAGTCCTTCGTCTTACTTTTTTTTTTTTTTTTTTTGGGGTAAAGGATCAACCAATTTTTAAAAATCAAGCATGTTTTGATTCAGGCTTATGACTAGGAGGCTTAAAACCTTGTTTTAGAACATGGATAAAATCTGATACACAAAGCTTAAAATTATTCACAAACTATTGGGTACAACAGTCCGCACCCAATAGTTCATGCGACAAGAAGGTGCTAATGGTAGCGGCAGCAGTACTCCATCCTTCCACCACCTGTAAAATCCCCAAATAATACTAAGAAAAACGAAATCTCCAAAATCACAACAAATCACAAATAAAATCAATAAATGACCTTAAATTGAAAAGGAGCAAAAAAAAACTTACAATTGGAGGTGCAAATGGCGCAGCGTCGACTTAAGGTAGAGGTGGTGGTGAGTGGGTTCGGTGGCTGATGATTTGCGACTAGTGATGAGGTGGTTAGTGGGTTCGGTGGTTGGTGATGCCATGGTTGGTGGGTTCAATTGGTGATTTGTGCGATGGTGGCGAAGTGGTTGGTGGGTGCGATGGTGGCGAAGTGGTTGGTGGGGGTGGTGAAGAGTGGGGCTCGCGGTTTGGGGAGTGAGTTGGAGATTCAATCTTAAAAAAAATTGTTGTTAAGAGATTCGTTAGGTGGTGATGAGTTGCTAAGAGATTCTTTAGGGTAGAACTATTTGATCCTGTTTTGTTGAGGCATGCATTAGTTTTGGAAGATTTGGTCATACTTGAGTGAGAGTTGTTGCGTAAAAGGGGGAAAGTTCAGTTTTGTTTAGTTCAGTTCTTGATTTGTTATGTCATAAACTATTCATTTCAACTTTATTCAATTCAATTCAGTTCCTAATTTTCTTACCTCATAAACAATTCATTTCAGCTCAACCCCCATCAGTTTAGTTCAGTTCAGTTATTTTCAGTAAATCAGAATAGGTAGACATGTAACAAACCCAAATTCGTGAAAGATATGGAGGACATAAATTGAATATTATGTCAAAACGAACACTTGTAAACTAATAGGGTCATACATCTAATTATGATACGAATGACAACATTGATTCCATGCCAATTGGGTTAGAACGTACCACTATGTCAAGAAATCCCGAGCGTATAACCCACAACCACAAATATGACTGTTAGAATTCACCAAAATCCTTCAACTAGAACCGTTAGACGTGAAAAAACAATTTCATTCATTAACCCATGCTAGACTCGATTGCAACAACGATAGATGATTTCATGTAACAATAATATTAAGAATTGGACTACTCACGCACACTACTTGTTCTCGCCCATATCCGATTAAAGCCGCATCAAGCCATCCTGATTGAAACACTACTTCCTCATCGATCATGGATACCCTGTGTAGACAACTAAAATAAGACAACAGACGGAGTTCCATTAGTTCGTCAAGGTATCATGAGCTTACACCCACACAACGACATATATAGTAGAATTAAGAATTGGCTGGAATCCCAAAACTCATATAGGTTCCCCATCAACGAATATTTGTCGCGTTGTACTACTGCTTAAGCCGCATCAACGAATATTTGTCCCAAAACTACGTGTTCGGCTTGCAACAACAAAAGCCATTACAAGAAATAGTTGAAAATACCCAAACTAAGATAAAACACAACGTCCATCCGTTGACGATTTAGTGAAGGCAAGATGAATGATATTGGCTTCGTAGATTCGAGGTCGCGTCGTTTCAAGCAAATGGCCTAGTCAACATTCCTGGCCTTGAAAGCTATGATACTGTCATAATTCCCGCCTTGCCCCCAGTGAGATTTTTGTGTGCATAATACTGGCGTTTAGCAATGCACACTATCTGCCTAAGGTCCAAAGAAGGCCCAAAGGTTGAATAACTAAAATGTAGTATTTTGGTTATTCAACCCTGAGTTGCCCACCTTCTCCTAAAGAGCTTTATATTGAACCTCTTGTGAAATTCTTGTGACACCCGATTGACGGTAATAACACGATAAATGGGTCAAAACTTGTGAAAATGTGATAATAACATTTCTTTTTGGTGAAATCCAAAGAATGGGTATCATGGGTATCAATCTTCATTTTGACACTTTTATTTTTTAAAAAAAAAATATTTTTTGTGGGCCCAAAAAATGGAAAATACATGAGTAGGGCGACGGTAAATGGAAAAATAAGGAAAGTTGTTGAAATAGTTCCAAAAGATGGGGAAAATGTTGGAAAAAGATGGGGAAAAGGTTGGGAAAAATGGGGGACGATTTTTTTACACTTTTGCACATCCCATATTACCCTTATTGCACGTTTTTAAGGTTTGGGGTTGTTTAGATATCGGAATAGTGGTAATTGACACTGGCAGAAATAGGGTGATTGAGAGACAATTTTTGTTAATTGATGATGGAATGAGGTAATTGATTGTTTGCACGAGATAAGATATGATACTTACATTATAAACATAAATAGTAGTATGATTATATATACATAGTCTATCAATCAACACACCACATCACATCAATCAGCACACATGTGAATAGTAGTATGATTATCCATAGTTACATTATAACATGTGTTATTTTTCATTACTATTGTCAAATCACATAACATCACTATTATACTTATATGGCATTATTGTACTTTATGACATCATTATTGTTCAATCACATCATATTATGACATCATTTCACTATGTATAAGACATCATTATAGTCAAGTCAAGTCACTTCATTACATTTTTCTGACATCATTACAATCTAACATATATTATACTTATATGGCATTGATCATTATATTTCATGAATTTCAAAATAAAAATAAAACTTGTTTTTGGTACTTTATAAACATCTTTATAGGCATCTTATGGTTTCAAACCACTTTATATGACCCCGAGAGTTACCCCACAGATTCAGTTTATTTTTTGAAAAATTTTCAAAATTGACCCAAAAATCGTGTATTATAGCCTTCAATTTCGGACAAATTTTCACTTTTCTGGACCCGTGAAAAAAAATTGTCAAGATACTTCCCATGGACCCTAATACACCCCAGAAGTCCATTTGGGTGGGTAAAACCATCCAATATGCCTTTAATATGTCAATTTACCCGTTTACAACTTGCACCAAATTTATAAATTCAAGGCTACCACGAACATTTATGACAACATATAATGATCATATATGATTCCAAATGACATTATATGACCTCGTGATGCATTCCCTAGTATCTCGAGACTTTCCGATACCGGGTCTCGAAACCTCTAAAATTGCCCAAAAAACGTGAATTATAGCCTTCAATTTTGCAAATTTTCGACTTTTTTTTACCTAGAAACAAATGTTGAGAATCTTCCTATAGAATCTAATACCTTCTGGAAATCCAATTGGGTGGGTGGAACCATCCAATTTGCCTTAAAGCATCTAATTTATGTGCTTTCATATATACACGCCTATTGTATTGGTTACAAGCTTTCATGAGGCCTTTATGTAGCCGAATAATTGTCGTATATAGGTCAAAATTTAAACATTATATGACCCCGGGATGCATCCCGTAGAATTTCGTGAATTTCTGACATCGGGTCCTGACATCTCTTGAATTGCTCCGATTTTGTGTATTATAGCCTTCAAATTTGGCTTCCATACAATATTTTTTTTCATTCTATGAGATTATGCATATAAGTACTTCTACGGGTTCCCAAAGGGTCTTGGGAGTCATGATAGTGCTCTAAACCATCTCATTCATCCATAATCATCATGTCTTAGGGCAAAGACGACATACCCTCAAATGATAAAATTATCTTATATGTTTGTATGCCTTGTCCTTGGGTACATATGTCTTGTGCACATGCCACAAGCCCCGACATTGATTCCATGCCAATTGAGTTAGAAAGTAGGCTTCTATATTAACACGATATATTGTATGCCTTATTTTGAGTTTTTGATTAAAAATTGTAATCTAATTTATAAATGCATTGATGTGCTAACGATATTACACATTTACATTTATTTACGCTCACTTACTAAACGAAAAATTATATATGCCTTCCGTGCATGGAAAATTAACCACAAATGTCATTTATGCGCAATGCAATTACACGCATAAATGTTATTTACATAAGACTTTTCGCATGACAACTCCCTATTTCAAAACCCTAGCTAGGTTAGTTGCATAGATGTGTATTTCATTATCTCGACAATATATTTTCCTCGCTACTAAAATGTATCTCTCATATTCTTCTAAAATATATATATATAATTTGTAATATATATCATGCCGATCTTCTTTGTAAATCTATAACAAAATCCTCGTAGTTTTGCATCATATTTCCTCTGTCTCGTTTTAATAACTTGTTCCATAAAAACTCTCACAAAAATTGCTTTAATGGTGCAAGTGAAATGAGATTAGAAGAATGTTAATCTTTTCATTTTCCAATTATAAAATTAAAATCCATTGAATAACACTATTTAGTTTTTGTTACAATCAAGCATCAATATGGTATGGCACGTAAATTATAAGTGATGCCTATAGCAAATTTGGTGAGGAGGGAGGGTCCTATGGTATAAACCTCAACTTCATCTCATTTCTTTAAGTCACAAAATGTTATGGAAATGTTCTGTTTTGCTGCCTCGAAGTTACGCACCTTAGACATGTTGGGATGAAAGTAGTCATGGCCCTCACGAGGGTGGCTCCACAAACGTGATTTTTCATGTTTTTCCTATGTCAAAAAATAAAAAATATATACTGTATAAAGTTTTGTTTTAAAGTACTTCTTTTGTATTATAGTTAAAAAATATTAAGGGTCTATTCTCATTGACTGAACTCAGCTGAACTAAATTGAACTGAACTGAAATGAATATTTTATAATTAGAGAAGGAAATTAGGAACTAAACTGAACTGAAATGAGCTGAACTGAACTGAGCTGAACTGAACTGAACTAAACTGAACTGAATTTCAACGTAAGAGAACAGGCCCTAAGTTCAACCCAATGCTTATTTAAACAATTAAGTTAAAAAAATATAAGTTCAATATAATACAAACAATAAGTCAAATAGAATAACAATATTTCTAATGTATCAAGTGAGAGTGTGAGACCACTATACAAAAAGATAGAGCAAAAATGATAAAAGAATTATGTAGATCATCTCTAGTGGTGAGATTTAACTTTAAATTTTAAAATATAAACTGAGTTGTTTTTCACACCCAATAGTGATTTCCCTGTGCCCTTTTTAATAAAATTTTAAAATCATGTGTTTGTTGATGCCTATAAAGAATTATATTGATACCAACATACCATCTAAGTATGATCAAACACCAATTGATAGTGACGCATATTGGCTGAAATTATTAGTGGAGTCGGTATTTGAATTGCTAATATAACCTTTCATTGAAATCTTTATTATGCCACAAGATGCATTTTATACTTCTTCTGTTTTTTTTGGAGGCATCATTTGCAAAATCACGGAATCCTAGACAATTGTGAAGATAAAAGAGATAAAAAGAAAGAAAAAAGAGGACCAATGTGATATGGGAGTTAGAAGAGAATATGTTACGTAGTACTCTATAAATAAAAGGGAAAGTGATGCATCTAAAAAGAAGCAGAGGAAGTAAGCAAAATAAAGCTATTCATTCTATTTTTTAAATTACAACAATTTCTATAATGGTCCTATTTTTATTTTATTTTTTTATTTTCTTAAGCAAACCCTTTCAACTAGGGGTGAGCAAACCGGGTACCCGGTCAAAATTTTAGGACCCGGACTTGGAATTGGTTGGAACCGGGTCCTAAAATTCGGAACCGGAATTGGAATTGGTTCGACTAGGTTCTAAAATTTAGGAATTGGAATTGGAACCATCGGGTACCGGTTCCGGTTCCGGGTACCCACTTGTGTATG